ATTCATCATGAACTGACATCAGTTGAGGAACCATTGGAAATCTGGGAGCACTGGACAGCTGTTTCGTCCTAGTATGGGACTCCTCAGTAGTACGCACCCACGACCCGGCTAGGGGTCGAACTCAGGACCTTCAGGTTTCACGACGAATGCGTTAACCATTCAGCCACTGGGTCGGTTCCCAGTGGTTCACAATTTCCAACTTCTGTCAATTCACGACATAGCGTGACTGTCACCAGTCGGAAGTGAAGTGAATGCTAACTGAAGACCTTGGGTGACAGTCACGCTATGTCGTGAATTGACAGAAGTTGGAAATTGTGAACCACTGGGAACCGACCCAGTGGCTGAATGGTTAACGCATTCGTCGTGAAACCTGAAGGTCCTGAGTTCGACCCCTAGCCGGGTCGTGGGTGCGTACTACTGAGGAGTCCCATACTAGGACGAAACAGCTGTCCAGTGCTCCCAGATTTCCAATGGTTCCTCAACTGATGTCAGTCCATGATGAATACTACTTCTAAATTAGGAATCCCCATTCATCTCATAAATATTTTATTCTCAGTTTTATGAGAAGGAAGTCAGTAAATATTCTCTATGAACATATTTCTGTAATGTGGACACAAAATTCAATCTACTGTTTTCCAAAAGAACAAAATATTGTGACAAAGTGTGGTAATACGTTAGATAACCTGGAAGTCTAACTGCATAACGAAGAATAGGCATCTAGATATACGGAGCTAAATCATTTAATGTCGCCTCTTAATTTGCCATGATATCCGATTATTATTTTTTTCAGATTAGTGTTATTATTACCATAAAGATACCATAAACTACGTAATCTAAACGTAGGTGCTTTAATGGTACATTTGGAGATTGCAGTTATTAGGTGAAATCATCATGGTAGGTAGGCAAGCGATAACTCAGGTGACCAAGTACATATCGTCGTTTTGCATATTTGTGCACTTGGATACAATTACTGACATTCTAACCATGGTTGTTTTTGATTCCACTGATTTCGTTTTTTATACTAGACCTTAGTAATCTACCACGGACTACTGTCAAAATACTCCAGTATACTGGAGGATTAACGAACTCATTCACACCTCTTGAAAAACAAAGCTGTTATAAAGTGGGGGATTAGCTTTGTTTCTCTCTATCAATACACATCTGGCTGTGCATGTTTCTGCTGAAAAGGATTCAGGGAAAAATTGTAAAATTAGTCATCAACACTAAAAATTCTATCTAACTATTAGCCCAGAAGAATCAGAAATATAAGTGTCGACAAAATTACTCATCAGCACTGGTTGCATGCAACTGTAAATTTAAACAATAATATTCCTTAATAAGTACGTACATAATAAATTTCACTTAGTCAGAAACACCTTTATGGGAAAAACTAAATACTTTAGAACCATTACCAACTTAATAAATAATCTAAAGTATTTCTGAGTATACAACATGATGCAGAGATTCAACTCTTACAAAATCTGAAAAGAGGAAATGACATAAAGCTAGTTATCAGCAAATATCATTTTTGAGAACAATGCTACTGGATTAAGCACCTGCTTATAGCTTTTGATAATTCTTTTGTGATAATTGTTCCAAAAGGATTCAGTGCTCTTGACTTGTTTCCAAGATAGCTTATATCTAGATTGTTTTCTGGCACTTTTATTTTGTACATATTATTGTGTTCCAGGTAGATTTTAGGTAAAAAGACAATTGTTTTTGCTCTGTCTATTGACATACCATGAGTTCCATGTCAGCTATTTTGTCTCACCGTCAAAGATGAAAAGCCCATTAATTAGAAACACTGTTGGTGAAAGCAGGTACTCAAATCATTTAGGATTCTCACAACTAGATGACTAACATTTATAACTTTCCATTTTCTCCATAATAAATCTATCCTTACTTCGTGATTTGACCAACCATAGAATAAATCTTGTTATCTTATGGAAACGATCTCGTACGACCATGCATTCATAGACTCTGTAAGGGAAGTTCTACTCACTGGCTTCATGTCGTAAAACCAGAACAGTACTGGTTGACTGGAACCACATTCAAATTTGTCCATGTGTTGTTGTTTAGCCAGACGTTTAGATTCGTGTAAGAAGTAGGTGTCAAGGTAAACGAGGACCGTTTTCAGTCTCCACCTGTGCTTCGACTGACTGAACACCAGGTTAAGTGGAGGATGCGTTCTATTATCACCGAAAGGATTTCTCAATCAATATCACTCAACAGACATCATAGAGCTAGCTGGAGACTTGAATACCTAAATCAAGCGTCTAAACTCAAAGAAGAACTATGGTAATGATTTAAAATGGCTAATAGCGGAATCTAAGAAGCACATGTCGTCCTATTATGGACTTGTCAGCTGCATTTATCTGCCTCCTAGTTAGCGATGTTGTTACCACTACGGACCCGGACCGATAGCTGCAAGCAACAACATCAAAGGAGAACTATCTGTGCAGCAAATGAGAATTGACTGGTCACAGATCAAATGATGAGGACCGTCTTCTGAAGTTCTGCACACATTACAACCTCTCTCTTGCCAGCATGAACGTCCTGCACAACCATCTTCCTTGTGCTACCTGCTATCTTCCCTCTTCCACTCAAGCCTCGACTTGAATAGATCACATTTCAATCAACTACATATGACTTGTGTGTATTCAGGATCGCCATTACTCCCGTGACACCAGTTTGGACACTGATCACACTTAAGTATATGCTTAGTTCAGCTCATCCTGCATTTTAGTGGTCATTAATATTCACTGTACGAGATAGGTTGATGCAGACAAACTGATTGCCTCTAGGATTGCAACTAATTACCAAACGCAGCTATATTCTAGTCTATCTGCTAAATTTCGAGAAGGAATAAACGATGATTGTCTGGATTTACAAGCTGTCATAAAAGTGCTGGTGGAACTGCATGTAGCTTCAAACAATGTTCCGCTAATAAAATTTGCACATCAGCTCTATTCAACTTTTGATTTTCGACGATCTGTTCCGGCAGACAGCGAGTGCAGCAGTATGAGTAAAGTTGTCGCTTGGGAAATCATGTAGCACTTACACAAGATATGTGAAGCGTGGTGGTTGGAACTTGTGAGATGGGAGGAAAAGCTGCATCTAGGAATGGTCAAAAAATGCTGGAGTTCATTCAAGCCAGTGTCAACAAGAATTTTGGTTTCAGTGAAACGGTTTGTAAGTTAGATGGTTAGCTAATCCACAACGTTTTCTCACGTCTGAAAGTCTCCGAAATGTAAAGTGCTCCACAAAATTGTCTGTATCTACATGCTTCTCGCCGGTGAACCGTTGGCAACTGTTTGCTTATCTGACTAGTCATGCGGGCACTGGCAGAGGCTTGACCAATTTGATTTTCAACCATGTATTGAAAGTCAGAGTGGCATAAGTTAATCTTAATTAGCTTTGGAGACATCGAGAAACTAGCATTGCTGCACATGATTGGGTGTACAATGCATTGGTACGAGTATTTCTCAACATCGATGGAACCATAAGTTTCCGAACTAAGAATATGAGAAGATTCTGAGTATCCGGTTGGTAACCAGTTTCTACGCTTTCTTCGCCTTCTTAATGACGTTATATTGCCGTGTGTCATTTATTTTTCGGTGTTCATATAATTTTACATTTTAGGTGAAATGATGAAATGAAATAAAGTTCTGAAAACCTCCTGTAAAAGAAGATTCACTTTCGCAAACTACGACTGCTCAGCTTAGGAATGATCAAAACGATTCCATTCAGCCTGGTAAGTGTCCATCAACTAGGCTGCTAACCACATTTATCTTTAAGGATCTACGATGCTACCTAGTAGCCCAAGCTGAAACAGATGGAGTGAGAGGCGAATCCTAGATCGATTTTTTGAAATTCAACTGTTTCAGCTGATGAGTCACAAAATGGAATGGTGAGGTACATAGTTCAAGAACAAAAGGATCATGACTGTGTGAGCAAATTTTCAGAGACTCCATATTTCTCTTTATTTTAGTGCATAACACACTCATTTCGAGAATAATATTGACGTCCAGAAAGTAATAAGCTATTATTGCTACCGGGAAACAGATAGTCTGCATTTATACCGATAACATTGTGTGCTCCTTTGAGATTTATATGGGCAAATACAAATGCGAACGTTTCTATGCCCAAATATAGCGACTAAGAATCAAAGTCAGTAATTCTTAGTGTTATAGATTCTTTTGAAATGATTAGTCATGTGGAATGAAAGCATCAATAATACACAGTCCACGGTAAGGGTTACAGCTAAGAAAACAGGTAACTTGCACACAACAACATAGTACTTGTATAGGCTTACAGTTGTCTTGCAAGTAGAAAATGACAAAATATGCCTCAGAAGTCAGAGTTATATGTTCTCCAGAAAACCTACAGTCCAAATATTGATACAGTAAATATCTTGTTCTGTATTTTCCAAGTGAACGTAACTAGTTCAAAATCTACCAGTAATTAGGCTCCCAATGGTCTGCTGAAAATATCTCCATCTTAAAAAGGATGTGATTTATCCCTCTCTCACCATGATCTAGGGAGACAAATATTCCAGGATTAATATTATTTATGTTCATCAGAAGCATGACTAACTAAACTAGAAGATAGTCTAGGTCTAACTGTGCAGGAAGTATACCAAAGCTATTCTTGCCTTCAATGTCTCAAAGTTAGTGAGACTAAAATAATCTTGGGAACAGAAATTATCATCATACATTACACATACATTACATCTCAGTAGCACAGTATTTCACAAAGAAGTATTAGATAGTCCTTCATCTCAAAAACCAATGTTTTTGCCTATCAAACTTTCACTGACTACATGTCGTGAAATGTCTATAAATAACTGGGGGGAAATAACCAAAACAGGGAGGAAAATACAAAAATGAACCACTCCATTTAATATTGATTAAAAAGCTTCTAAAAACGAAGTGTCTATTTACCTTGACAAACATACGATGATGGTGTTTCCCCAGGATGTACACGAGCAGTAACAAATATTATACGTTTTTCGTGGTTGATGCATTGAAATTATTGGGGTGAGTAATCGTTAAGAGATCTAAACGCCTTTGTTGCTTTTAGAAAAAAGGTACATTGTATATTAATTAACTATTGCTGTTATAATCAGTTAAGAATGTCGTCATATAGTAAATATGCAATTATTTTTGTGAAATGTTTCACCATCGCGATGGCGAATCAACTTTGAGTAAGTGGATACAAACGACCGACAAAGGAATGTATTACTTTAAAGTGTGGTCTATAGAAGACAACCACTCACTGATCGTGGGATCAGAGCGTAGTGATATACAAAGCCTTTTTTACTGTGTATTTGTCGCTCAAGATAAGTGATAGAAGGGTGGGAATGACTGACTTCCAACGCCTCTAAAATGTGAGTAATGTAGTGTAATGCATGTATGTAACGTATGTGTGTAATGTGAATCAGTTTTTTGACCGAAGCGCACAACCACGGCTTATCTCTGAATGCGACAATGAGGGGCGTAACAGCAGCAAAAATGAGGCTTTCTCGTGGTTAAATGATGTTGGTTTTCCAAGTGGACATTCTCAGAAAGGCAAAAACAACATAAAACCCAGCATGATTAAAGATCGGTCTAAGTATATGCCCCTCGTGTATGGAAGGTAAACTTTTTCAACTGGGAAAATCCATTAGAAAAAGCAAGATATCAAAACCAGTAGTATAGGTAGACTCTCGGTGCTCTGATGGACGAAAATTCCATTTTGGGTAATCAGTGATACTACGATACGTGTTGCTGACCTTTCCTTCTATTTTGTTGAAACATTCGCCAGAACGTTTTATTTCAGCACCGAATTTGGTCTCATCTGTATCATTCTTTCACGAATGTAACTCACTCAAGAGACAATGAAAAGTTGGAAACATTCTTGCAGATTTTTCTAAGTAATGTTTTTAATAATCTTGATATTACTTTGATTCCTATTTCTTCCCCAAAACAGATCAGGCTGATTTTCACCTTTTTTAATTTTATCACTTCTAAAGACTAAGCCTAAGTTACTAGCAGTTTGCGCTGGTAGTAGGAAACAATTGGAAGAAATACGTAGTTATCAGGCATATAAATTTATAAAATAATTTGATAATTTCCACTTCAAATTGTTCATCGTCTAGTGTACTGTTTGTTATTTTGTAATAATGTTTCCCTGCAAGAAGAATGAAGCAATAAAGGTCAGTGTTAAGGAATAGTTATCTTTAGACACAATCGAGAATACTGAGTCGGTTTTATTTGGTATAATTTAAGCTTGAAAATTCTAGATGAAACTAGTGTAACCAGTTCATACTGTTTACTCTAATGATGGTCATGTAAGTTTTGAACAACAAAATCGAGATATTGCGATGTCATAGAAAATTCAAATAATCCGTTCACACAAAGTTCTAAATGTTAGATACCAACTTAGTTAAGGAAAAACGTGGTAGGATATTATGCGCCATAAGCAAGCAATCACTCTGACTTAGTTATTAGGTATAACCAGCACAATGGTTTCAAATCAAATGTTAATTTAAAGTGAGGTAAGTAATAATTTTCGAGTATAATTTTAAAAACGTAATTCTTGTAACGATAATTTCTTAATAATTTTAAATGAACTTCATTAGCAGATTGGAAGTAGAGTACAGGTGGATCTCTTCCTTTTTTGAAACGACGTTAAACTTAAGCAGATAAAACATAAACTTACTCCATGGTGTCACTGAAGTATACTCAAAATCTCAGTCCTTTCAAAATTGCATAGTTCACCATAAGGACAGGAATCTTTCCAGGACTGTTTTATGTAGTAGATATTGCCACCCTAACCTTCTCTGATAGTTAAATACCCTTTCTTTACCTTCAAATGTTTCGTACTTGAATCTACTGAGATATCTCATGGCGTCAATTAAATAGGTAAAAGGTTTGAAAAAATTTGTAAACTCATTGGCGAGTGAAGTAACTTTTTAAGTAAAAGCCAAGGAAATGAATGTTTCCAGTAGAATAGCACTGAGCAATGTTGATTACCTAACGATAAACGGAGCATTATAGTGAATATACAGAAACTACTTTTTAGGTTTAAGGAATATTACCTCTCAAACTTTATGGATTTGAAACAAAGAAGTTTTGCAAAGGGTGACTACGCCGAGATGTAGCAGCGAACAGTAAGTCCGAACTGTACAGGAAAAAAGGTTCAGAACATAGCCAAACTGGATAGTTGGAGATACTAAATAATATGGTGCAAATGTAGACATGCTTTACACTCGTGAATATAGCAGTATCGTATTTACTTTATCACGTATTCTTCCCTGCTGAATGATTTTTAGGACATATGACCACATTTTTCCTAAGTGTCTTTCGTCTTGGTACATTGGACTTTGACATGGTGATATGAGGTATAGAAACTTAGATCGTTTGGCAGCATACCAGTCCACATACTGATATTGACCGATTTCTCTTTACTCTGCTTATTCTCTTTTGCTTATCTTATGACGTTTAACGACAGATGACATTTTTGTTTTTCCTCATGAAATGTTTAGTATGCAGTGAATTGACAGAGTCTTTAACTCAGTAATGTCGGGTCGCGCGTTTGTATTGCCTATGTTCGCAGAATAGCAAACTATTTTTGTATACCTCTTAAGATGCTTTAAATATGGCATCAATATTCAAAACAGCTAAAATGAATGAACAGGATGTATGAATAAGCACTCGAATATAGTGATGTCACCATAAATGGTGTAAGTTGGCCAAAAACAAGGTAGGTTTTGTATCTGTTAGGAGATTTGGAAGGTCATAGGCCCAAAAGAGCTGATTTGGCTGTAGATGGGGTGACCAACATATCCGCTCCCTACCGTCAGAAGAGACACCAACGCCGTCTTGAAGAAATAGTTTTCAATTAGGCGGTGAGAAACGCACACCAAACATTCTAAAGTTGCCACCTACGATGTTCTCTTCTGGACACCCGCATTTTTTCAGCGACTCCACCTCAAAGAAACATATCGTCTACGTAATTTACGTCTACTAGGAAGTCTTCTGTGAAAAAGTCAACCCATTTAAAGTCAGGTAAGGAGAAGGAAACCCCTATGGGCACCTCAATGAGAACACTAATTAAGAATGGAGATACTTGGAAGACACCACAGCGTATAGAGCTCACCTGACACCTCACCACTGGCTATTTCACACTTACGAGTGTCCAAATACAGAGCATTCCACAGGGCAAAACACTGACTGGGCACTCCATAAAACACTGCCATAAGACCTACTGACCGATCGAATCATATTTTACACTCTTATCAAAATTTTTTGAGTTAATAATAAGATACTAACTCAAAAAACCTCTTAATGGTATGCTTAAACACTTTAAGAATATATACGTACTACTGTAAGGCCCAAAAGTTCTCTCTTGAAGTGGGAATAGTTTTTACTTTCTATTGTACCCAAGTATGTTTGTAATCTGCTGTAGGTATATGGGTAGCAATAGGCGAACTGATAAACATCTTCTTCACAATCAAATGAAAATGCGAAAGACATTACGTATTTTTTCTTGTGCTCAGGGCATCGATAGTAGAAAACACACTTTTGTGGGATGCGTGACCTAATTCAAGCATTAATAAAAGAATACGCTTACCAGTATGGACGGCTGGATGATTTGACAACTGGGGACATTCCTTCTCGATACAGTGACTTAGTCTTGCTAAAATTAACCACATTAAAAATCACTCTCTGGCTATAAATGTGAACCATAAATTACTACCTGCGCATATTTAGTGTTCTCCACAGTAAAGTTGAACCATACTCGGAACCGTGCATTACACGTATCAGGACGAATAAAAAGATCATATTCATAGTCACTGACATACTCAACCTTTCCGAGATTTCCTTTTTGTATGAAAAGCAAATAATGAAATGGTACCACTTTCGAAACAAGCATCAAATATTAAGTGTCCTTTTCGTAGTTTTTTCTGTATATCCAGGAGATACAATTAAACATTTGCTCACGTTGCCCAAGTTACTTTCATTAGCATCATCTGAATCGCTTCCTGCGGATTCGTTTTGGTCAACAAACGCATTTTTGAATAAGTCATCGTAATGGTTTTCCTTCTGCGCTCATTTGACATTTTGATTACATTAACAACAGTTAAAGCAATGTAGAAAGTATAAACAACTCAACATCCAATACCAACAGTGCGAGCGAAAGAAACTTGTAGTCTTTGAACTCATGCTTTTGGTCTTGAAGCTCAGCTCCTTTTGTTCCATTATACTCATTATGCTCATAATTTCCTGAAGAAAAATAGAAAGTTCCTTAAATGTGTACCCAGCAAGGGCATGAGAAAGAGATATTAGAATTTTCGCGTTGCTTTTCTATCTTCAAACATTATTTTGCACAAACAATCGGCAGGTCATTGCATGGGTTATACTGAGATAGCTTAGAAACTTCCATCTGCGAAAGAGGTTGCCTCTCTTACTATGCACCCCAAAGACTCAAAGGGGCAGTAAATCTACCTATTCAAGACCATTCCTCCCATAGATTTGCTTTTTTGGTCCACAATTGTATGAAAGTCTTCTGAAGTGAAATTCTGCGTCAGAAAACTCTTAGCAAACGCACCAAACAAAGCAGATATTATGACCTGATCAGTAAAATGGGACCATTGTTTGCAGTTCGTAGCAGACAGTAATCCGATAGTTGTCATAATTCGAGTCTTCTAGTGTTTTCGGCATGGATGTCTTATTAATGGGGTTGCTAAAAGGATTCACGTAAGGCCAGTACAATATGACTACTTGAGGTTGGTATTTAGTGTTTGTAGGTCGCTGTCTTCAGAAAGGAGGATAATAAGTTGGCTCCCCAATACTTTGATGGTCACCCCCCGTCTAACAATGTGGGGTAGGTGAATCCAGAGTTGGGAGAAGAGAATGGCAAAATTGTTAGCCCTATTGATGAAGCGAACTTGGGTGTGTAAATAAGGTAGTCTTTATTAATCAAGGAATGGGTAGATGAAGCTGTGAACTTCAACCGCTACGAACATGAACTCACAGAGTAGCAAACAGAGTTGGGGTTAGAGGGCCTTTTGATATGCACTTGAGGTGTACTGTAGTTGTTTCCGGGTAGTCAAGCTAATAAGTGAGGCGCTCACACTTTGTCTAAACCTAATTGGCTGTGTAATTATAATTGCAACCGACGTTTGCAGCAGGTTTACTGCCCTATTTTGCTTTGTGGTTGATATTGCAAGCAATTTATCACTTGTCATTGGAATTTCCTTAAATGCTACTGTGATAGCATTAGAATTGATCCATCCAACGTCTGGCCATGCCTCATGACTTTTCAAAGCATCTGCACCGCAGTCTTCTGGTTTCACGTCGTTTGCCAAACAAGTGATCTGCGAAACCGAGTGGTTAGATCACGTGCCGATAGAGTTATTTTACAAGGTGACTATCCGAAACCGTGTTAGTGAAAGGCTACTACGTTTTCTGTTGCCGAGAGCTATAGATGCATTTGGAAAAAGAATTTTGAAATAATTACCAAGTATTTTCACATTCTGAAGAAACAAACTAATATTAGGGCTCCTCCTGTATGAAAGATGTGGGGGGTGCTTAGATCGTACTTTAACCTTTCTATTCCTTGTTTGCCTTCCCATATTTCTGTCACTGAGTCAAACCTCCTGTAAAGCCGACTTTGCACACCACATGTTTAATTCCCAATTTAAGTGTCAACGTTCACATTTTAGGTACAATATTGGGCAGTCCGTTTCCAGCTAATCCACTTCGGAGTGCAAACGTTTCGTCAGTTAAACCCCATACTTGTAAACTCACGTCTTTTCATGACGGTGCAGTTGAGCTTGATGGAATTTGTCTAACACAGTGCATGGCTTCCATCCGAATATTTGAGCTGGAAGTTGATGTTCCTGCCATGAAACAGGTTTTCCATCAGACTGTACTAAACCTTGCAGATATTACCGTTGCTGCCGGTCCCACAGTGGTCCTTTTGAGCAGTGGAAGGATGACCACTTAAAAAAATTAGACCTAGTGTGGCGTTATTTAACATGAATCAGAATGGTTGAAATCGATGAGCCACATCTAAGTTTAACAGGCATTATCCAGCCGAAAAATGGCAAAGTGAGCATCTTTTCGACATCTAACATTAATAGTGCAAGTAGGGAAGACCTAGTTTTGAGCCCCCTCCTTCACGTCTTGAGGGCTGGCTCATCCTGTCCAGTTCTACTCCTTCAGCGGTCGCAGAAGCCTTTACGTTTTTTCTTGTTCATAGAGTCGGAGATAGTGACCGCCTATTCAGAGGTGTTTTCTTTTGCTAATTGTGGATTACTTTGCTTGGAGGGGAAAACGGAACTGCTGATAGAGTCCTTTGACCTTCGGAAATCCGTTTTGAAACCACGTCCAAGTATTTGGCACCACTTGAGAATTGTTGAAAACAGAGGGAATGATGGGAATGGAAGGTACTTACGGAAAAATAATTGCTACTGGTAATATGGAGAAGAGATGCCTCTTATTGCAGACACTAGTGTTGGAGAGTGCAGGGATGGATCAGCATTTCTTCAGCTGATACCCATAAATGCTCGCGGTAAGCTGTTTGTGCCGTCGTACTTGCCCGACCTCGATTGAAGGAATCAATTGATGTAGCTGTGACAACCCCCATCAACACAGCATCCTACAAGGCACATACCCTACTTGAGAAGTTTCATCCCACTCTCGTTTTGTCCTGCAGTGAGGTACGCGATTGGGGTCCCCGCGAGACTGTCGGCCTTGGCCCACTTGCGTAGGATGCGAGCAGGTCACCTCTTTACCTCAGATGGCTTAATGTGAACAGGTGGAGTTGTATAAGGTCTTGCGCGCGCGTTTTGCCTGCTAGTTCGACTACCGACCTCGCCCCCCTACCCTTTGCTGCTCCAGAGTATCCGCGTCCCTCATTAGCGGAGGAGGGAAGCTAAAGTGTTTAACACCCGTAGGTGCAAGGTAATGTAGGTTTCAAACACCTTGACGAATGATCCTAGAGTTAGCGCTCCAAAGCACCTCCCTAGAAAGTTGATGGCGTTCTCCTCTACTGCCATTCCATCATAGTTGGCACCAGTATCCAGTGTGTCGGAGAAGGACAAGATGTTGCAGAACTCCACTTGACTCGTTCAGACAAAACCACTGCTTCTGGACGCCGAAGGTTGAAAACGCAGATATTTGGCTCTCAGTCGTAATGTCCAGCACGAGGTGAGCTGGCAGAAGCGTAAGTAAATTATACATTTCTGGTATTATCAACTGGATAAAATAAATGAACAACTTGTATATGTTCTCTCGTTAACCTTTCAAGTACAAGGTGTTACAATGGAAGTATCAGCTGCAAGCTTTATTTTTCTCCAGGTAATAAATGTAATGTCGAGGAAACAAACCCTGCTTCTTTGTCAATGTGAAGACAATACATCCACTTTTCGAACTTTTATATTTTTGCACACTTATTCTGCTAGGACGTTTCACTATATAAGTGTGCAGCATCTACATCCTCTAGTAAAGGAATAGGCGGGGGTCTAGATTACCTGCCACAAAGATACAAGTAATTTAAACAGCAAGTTATTCATACCCGCAAAAATGACATTTGCCCGTAGATTCAGGAATAAATGTCATTATTATTGTTTGCAAAGAAGCCATTAAACGTCTCAGAAGACTTACCGAAATCGCGCGATAAAGATTCACGCATAGGAAGCAAATTATGACAGGGCATAGGCATAATCACGATTTTGTGCCACGGGCGTTCACAGTCATATTTGTCAACGGAGTAGTATAAGTTACCTTGAACGGCTTGAAGAACAATGTAGGCCTCTGTAGATTCCATATCCGTATTTCGTCATACGTCAGCATGTTTTTGCAGGTGTAATCCGCTACATAACTCGTTAGGTGGTGCCAACCGGAATAAACCACTCACGTCGAACTACATTTGGTAGCACAAACTGCGATTTCCTCTGTTTGTCCTCTGGAAACATTTGTACCCCATTTTCATCTCTTGATTTGAAAGGCTGACTTTGCTGACTACAACTAACCACAACGACACTGTTTCGCGAATATCTGCAACTAGTTAGTCTATTTCATGGATCTCAGATGCATATGAAATAAACATGACACACTGCCAGGCCAAATTGGTTCCCGGAGGCTATAGCCGGCATCTTGCCTCAGCAGCATCCCAAACCGTTAGCTAACCGCACTAACAATTTGATCCGATGGCGCTTTCCACTCAATTAGCTTTTGAATCCTCCTTTGCTGCCCCCACCAAGTCCGTGAAACCCGGGCTGCACAGAAGTAAGCAGCTCTAACGACGAGTCGTGGTTCCGTGCGTTGCTAACATGTTCAGCCACTTGATAAAGGCCAAAATTGGGTTTATTCTGCGGGCAGAAGGGCAACCTTAGCACCTAGATATACAATGTACATGCAATGCTCACTACTACTGTACTCACTGCCATTTTCTCAGCTTCCTGACTTCGTCCATCGGCCATGCAGCAAAGACGATCTAAGTTATTTTTCCGTCCCTATTCATGCCA